AAATCATACTTGCCACTGCTTTTGGTTGCTGAATATTTTAGTATTTTCAGTCAGTAATCTCATATCACCAGTGCTCAGAACATTGTTACCTGCCTCCCAGCAAGTGATATTTCCTCAACACTTCCAAAATTTTATTGACAAATTTTATTCTACAAGTTAATAGAATATCTACTTCATACTTTCATTCTCGAAATGAAGTAAAAAATGATTAATCATTCCACGTGCTACCTCTACCTATAGCAATAGCTGATGGACATCCTATTAGATAATATTATATGAAGATTTTCCAAGTTTAGAGGCTTATTTTAAGAAAAGTAATTAGGTTTTGCTTAATAAATTTTCTGGTATTTTATTAGGTGTTTCTTACTTAAACTATATTAGTTCAAATCCTATATAAAGAGGGTCTTTGCATTGTAATACCTAAGATTTTATTATTGAATAAACTGACAATCGTCTCTCTAATAATTATTTCTCTTCTGTCTGCTTCTTTGTCTGTCTGCTTCTTCTACAAGTCTTGTTTTCTGTCTGTTAGTGTTCTACATCAAGAGCACACCCTACTTTTTCTATCTGGGGACGAAGGTGAAATATAACTTTTTCTTCTCTTGTTGAGGGACAAACATAGATCTTGGACTCATTGGTGCAATTTAATTAATAAACTAGTTGAGTACAGCTTAACAGATTTGCTCACTGTTCCACAATACCTCGCTTTAAAGATGATTTGAGCCACACTCTAATGGAAAACTTTTTAATGCTTCCTAATTTGCAGTTTCGTTTCGTAGTCATGGGGAATATGTTCTGCACAGAATTAAGAATCCATCGAAGATTTGATTTGAAAGGTTCTTCATTAGGACGTTCCGCCAACAAGGTTGAAATTGACGAGAGCACAATACTTAAGGATTTGGATTTGAATTACTGCTTTTACTTGGAACCTTCTTGGAGAGATGCCCTCTTACAGTAAGTGGGGACTCGTGAGGATTTATTTTCTTTTTGCTTGCACCATTTCTTTTTAACTCTTTAATCTTCCTTTGGTCCACACTAACAAGATGCAATGGGTTGCTTGTCATTTGGTGACAGTTAATTTTGCAATGGGCCACTCATTGATTTTCTTTTTGCCTCCCACTTCTAACATGCTCTACCAAACTCATGTCACTATTATAAAAGGGACCTCTTTAGAAGGATGAGATCTTGACCTTTAACAACCTATCTCGTAGCCATAAAGGCATACCTGGTCTATCTTAATCTCATTGTTCATTGTCTTCCATTTTGGTAATAAATGAATTCTGATACAAGAAGTAAATATAGCCTAGAATGGAGATATAAAATTGAAATATCTTAAATTTTATGATTTCATCTTTGTTTTTGTTTTTCTCCTCCTTTAATCCGCTGTATCAACTGTTAAGGGCTTTTAGAAAGTCCATGGCAGGAAGAAGTTTGAACTATATAGGGGGATTTCCCCGGGGCAGCACAAGCCCAGATGAAAAACAATGTGAAAAAAATAAAATAAAATTTAAAACTTAGTCGAGGCCAAAACAAATCTTTAGCCCAACCCAAATTAAGCTTAATCCCCAATTGCTGCTATAAGTCTCAATTGTAATAACCTATTAACCCAATTGCTGTAACCCATAAACTCATAAGCGTCCAGCAAAGAATTAGGTAGTCTGAACTTTGAACAATTAAACCCAACCCTAATCTCTTTTCCTTATCGTGTTTTAGTATTATTACTTGTGACTGTGTCTATGCTCGACGAATATCCATATGTTGCATTTGCATGCTTGGAATTTGTTAGTTGGAATTGGACACTTCTTCTAAAATTTTAACAAAGGTTAAAATTTCTACTCGGCTAACCAGCTTGTACAACTAAGCATGTATCGAGATTGAAAACTTGCCATGCTTAAACACATGATGCCATTCTTCTTCAACTCTATTTGTCAGTGAATGAATGGTAAATAAATAACCTAACCTATGACTGCCAAGTCATTTTCTTCCATTATAACCGAATGGTACTCACCCCTAAATGTTCATTTTTGCATTTGTTTTCGATACTTTTTGTTGTCATTTCTTTTTCATCTTAATGTAATGTATTGATCATATGCATATGGTGGGGGTAAGGCTGACTGTGACCCCTTAATTAGGTGCATTTTTTCTTTTAAATAAATAAAATTTCCTCATAGTTTCTAAGTTTGTATTAAAAAATTATGCGATCCCCCCTTTGGTTGAATTCTGGATCTGCCGTGGTTTCAAGAATACGTCGTGTGCAAGTTTTTGTGCAGTTTATACAGTTGCTTGTGCTTCTAATTGTTTCTACTCTATGCAGGCAGATTGAAATAGATAGCAAATTCTTGGAAGCACAAAACATAATGGATTACAGCCTCTTGCTAGGTGTTCATTATCGAGCACCCCAAAACCTACGCTCTCTTATGTCTTACAGCCAGAGGATGTCAGTTGATGGATTGGGAATTGTTGCAGAAGAAGGTTGGTTTTATGTTCCATAGTGTTGTTAATAGCCTCGTGAACCTGAGCATAAAAATTGTGAATGCATTTAAATTCTGATATGCTGGTTGCCTTTTATATGTTTATTAGTTATATGGACGTAATAAAAGAATCTATAGTCAAGCAATGTTTTAGTTGCCAAGACCATCGCATTATGCCAGACCCGGTAATTATACCAGTAATCACTATCTTGATAAAAAAAAAATATGAGAAAAACGACTGTTGGCCTCTTAAGAGCATGTTTGGCCAAGCGTCAAAAGGTACTTTTAAGTAACTTTGCTAAATTCACCATTTTTTGGGGATAGCTGTGTCAATTTATAATTTTAATCTTTGCTGATTCATTTGAATGGTGTCCTAATATTAATTAGCAGGATATAAATTTCTCGGAAGGGATTCATTTGAGTGCGGCTAGTTCTTTTGTAGAAGGATAAATCCATATGTACAGAATAACTTCTTCCAGAATGTTGCTAGAATAGTTTCATGACGTGGGGCCCACCACCATAAAAAAAAATTTGCCAAAAAATACCATACCCACTCCCCTATGTGTGTATTCTGGCAGCATTCTGAAAAAACTTCTTCTGTACATTAAGTATGGCTCTTTGTAGAATTAGATCTGTTTTTCAGGATCACAAAATCTACATTCCCATGCGGTTGACAACGAACTTATAACTTTCAACTGCTGATTGTACTACCTCAGAGTCTGTGGATGACGAAATATCTCCACAAGGCCTTGTTTTGGTCCCTCGCGGAGCTGATGATAATAGTGTTGTTATTGGCCCTCATATTAGAGGTAGCCGATTACGAGCATCGGCTGCAACTGGAGGTGAGGAAGTGGATCTTCTCCTTCCTGGTACAGCAAGGTATTTCCATGAAACTTTAAGACGTAATATTTCTTTCATTTCTGTTTAGGTTCTGCCATAAGCAACTGCATTTCGTTCTTGATTGGCATTCCAATTGATATAACTGGTGTCTCGAAGTAACTTATCTTCTGCATAAGATAAATTCTCCGGCAACAAAATGCATATTTACTGAAATTTAGAAACATATTAAAGACAGGTTGAAGCATTGCTGATTTAGTCAATGAAGCGTGTCCACAAGATTAAAAGCATTGATCAAACATCTAAAATCACAAGCATGTTTTTACCACGTGAAGATGGTTGTGATTAAGCAAATAGAGAGCGTGGCTTCTTTTTTAGATTAAAACACACCCAAACGTGACTTTAATTATGAAGGAGAAGTAACCAAAATCGTAATGGTATGTTTGGTAAGGTGAAATACACGGTAATCGAAAAAGAAATAGAAGTTAAAATCTTCTTGTGTTTCTTGTCTTTATTGTATAATATTGCATGCCAAACATGAGTTGAGGAGATGGACGAATGAACTTAAGAAGATTGACGTAAATTTACTGAGATTTGGATTAATTTCCTATTTCTGTCCATTGACGGTCATAAATTGAAATGATCATTACTTGGTCTCCCTCAACAGACTCCAAATCCAGCTTGGAGTGAATATGCCTGCTAGAGCAGAGCACGTCACTGGGAAAGGCGATAGGCAAATGTTTCAGGAGGAGGTGTACGACGTCGTCTTATACTTGGGTATTATTGACATATTTCAAGAGTACAACATGAGTAAGAAGATTGAACATGCATATAAATCTATTCAATTCGACTCAGTATCGATATCTGCTGTCGACCCTACATTCTACTCTCAACGCTTCTTACGATTCATTCAAAAGGTTTTTCCGAAAAATGCTGTGCAAGATTAGTAGACCTGGACACGATAGTTATTCAATTATCCCTGTCTCAAGAGCTCCCCTTGATGAACAGATGTACAACATATAGTTACATGTATATTGAGACATAGAAGGGATGGTTTTCTACCCATATTGGTTTTTGATTAATTTCTGCAATTATCATTAGATCATGAAGCTTCAATCTTATTTCTGGTGGATCAGACCATAATTATTGCATTTTAAAGAGTCATGAAATTACAATTGTATTGTAACCTTTGGTTTGACTAAGCTTGAATATGTAAAACTTAGCCCATGTTTAAAAATCATTATTTTCACTCTTTTTCTACATGCTCATTTTTAATCATACATTCAAACAAAAAATTTTGTATGTAAATTCAAAATTTTTCATCCACACTCTTAAAAATCACTATTCAAAATATTGTTCTTTTTTTAAATAATGACCACAAAAACAGGGACTCAATTTCAAGTAACTTATTCTATCAATCATAATATGATGTTTTCTACAAAAAAAAGGAAAAAAATTTTACTCATTTCAAAGTAAATCTTACAATACCGTCAAAATAGCAACTTATAACTAGGATGAATGAAAAAAATTCTATTTATAAACTTATTTATGAATATGCTCAAGAAGCAAACTTATCCTGATGAACCTTACTTACCTAACTGAGGTTGAGGGCAATTGCTATACTCCAAAGTTCAAATGGCATATACCCCTCCCGAATGTGACCTCTCTTTGCAAGAAAATAACACATCATACTCATTCTTGAGCAACGATAATAAAAAGGCACTTGAATATATGTACAGGTCACGTATCACAATATCGCTTTAAAACTGGTTACGACTATAAGGCAAAAATGCAGCCAACATTTGTTTTGTGGGAGCCGACAAACCTTAATAAACAAAGCCAGTACATAGCTGCAAGTTATGGGTACAGATTGATATGCAACCTTAAACCTTAATAAACAAAGCCAGTACATAGCTGCAAGTTATGGGTACAGATTGATATGCAACCTTAAGTTCTAATATCCAATTGGGAATAACCACAAATTCTCCTAGCTTCAGTTCCAGGATCAGTGAGCTCAATCGGAGTCTGCCAACATCGGACAATAAGAAACACGACAGTAAAGATATCAAGATTCTCAGAGTGATGGGCAGACGCTAACCTTCCCATAGGTATTTGTTGCAGTTGGAGAAGCTCCATGAGCTAGCAATAATCTTATTACATTCTCGTATTCCCCTCTAGCGGCATGGTGCAGGGGCTACAGAAATAAACCAAATAGAAATAACATTATTCAATTTTCGGAAAACAACTGTACTTGGTTTAATAGAAACTCTTTTGGCAAGCAAATTCAATGTAGAAACCTAAATTGAATATGTTCAAGAAAAGGACTCACCATGTCACCTTCCATGTCAACAGTTTCTAGCATTCTCTTGACACAATCTGGATCATTAGCACTATTTAGAAGAAGTTGGACAACTTCTGTATATCCTGTTGAGATGTTTCAGGAGGAAAAGATAAAAAGATATTAAAAATTCTATAAAATATGATAGGCTAAGTAGCTAGGAAAGTTGATAGCCCACCTCCCGCACAGGCATCATGCAATGGAATTGCTCCATCTTCATCCTTTGCCTCCAAGTTAGCTCCCCTTTCCAGTAAAAACTGCTTCAAATAACAAATTTACGAGTCATTATAAATAGGTACTATCAGATTCCGTTCCATTGCAACATGAATAGATAAATAAAATGACCAAATTACAATAACAGCCGCAATTGTGAATCAATCAGTAGACTCAAATGATTTTACCTGTACACAAGACAAATGACCATACAAACAAGAAAGGTGAAGAACAGTGTCCCCATCTTCAACTGGTTCATCAATGCTACCATCAAAATTATCTGAATCCAAAAATTCACAAATGGGTTTTTAGAAGGATGAAGATAAAAAATTTGCCTATTTAAACCCTGTTTTTTAATCCACAAATATATGATAAGCAAGCATATGTCTTCAAGGTAGTATAGATAAAAAGGTAAACCAGCTAGCGAAGATGAAGATGACATCATGATATACAACTTCCCTATTTAAAGATAAACGTGCTACAGCAAATTGAAGGCACCATTACCTTTTATTTTTTTTGGTAACAAGCTAAGATGCATGTCCTTCATCAAATGACGTTCTTTCATAAGATACAGTTTCAATTAAATCATCAAGAGCTTTAAGAATTCTCTAATATAAACTTAGACACAAAAAAATGAGCAAAGGAGTAATATAGCTTCCATGTTTGTAAACCGAACACGGTTCACCAAACTGGAACAGTTCCCTACCATAAGCACTAGTTCAACCAACAGGTCAATCAGCATGCTGCACGTGTATGTAATCTAACACTTTGCACATAAAGCACCAAAGCAAGACATCTTCATCCAAAAAGTACCAGTTTGAGTAATCATTCATATAAATATGGTCCGTTCACGTAGAAGACGGCACCCTAAATAAAAGTTTTCCAGGGCATCAATAGTTTAGTTTTGGTATTAGATATGCCAATGTAATTAGCCAACCAGGAAGAAGTTCAAGGGTATTTTTTAGCAAGTACCACAAGAGAAACTCAAAGCTTTTAACACTGCTATACATAATCAAAAAACAAAGTCAAAGTTCATACAATCAATAAGAGAAATGTATTTATGCTAAAAAAATTCAAACGAATGAAGAATAATACCACATTGAAGAACTATCTTGAATTCATTTGATTAGTTACTAGTTAAGCTCAACCATAATTTTAACTGCACAGTGGCGTAACAGTTTCGTGCTACTCCAACAAAAAAATCAAGAGGTAAGGGTGAAGAAAAAGATAAAATAAATGAAATTGATACAAGTAAGATAAAAAGATAAATAGCAGTATAAAAATGAAATAAATAATATAACAATAAGATTCAACATAACTTATAAACGAAAATCAATTTCAGACTATATATTCTAAATTAAAATTTCACTGAAAAATACTTATAATTGCCTAACCTGAAAATATTAATTAAATAGCGAAGTTTGAAAATTTAAAAGAGAGTACATAATAAATATGATAGCATATATATAATACCAAGGGCTTGACGAAGGGCATTGAGGTCGCCAGACTCGGCGGCGGCGACTAAGGGGCGTAGGTGGAGAGGGATATCGGAGTGATCGATATCGTCCTCTTCCGCGATCTCGACGCCTTCTTCCTCGAACAGAGTCGGGTCCTCCTCATCGCCGCCGAGAAATCCATTCCGTCGACCGCCAGACACCGCCATCTCTTTCTATTCAATCTCTCTGACACCAACGGCCACGAAACATATAGTTATATAGACTTATAAGAAAACCTCAGGGTTTCCTGTGGGGCACTACGACCAGCCCTATTTTTTGAGCTTTTTCGTTAAGTAAATATTAAAATCAGATTTTTTTGTAAATTTGATAAAAATTAATGAAATGTGGTTAAAAAATTATGAATGCATGAAATATGTTATTATAATTAATTATTTACTTTGATTTAATCAATATTAAGGACTAATTAATCATTATTTTAAAATTTTTTATTCTACCTTTTTATTTTCAACCACATTTATATAATAAAATATTTTGTATGTAAATTCAAAATTTTTTTTCTACTTTTTAACTATACATTCTTCAAAATTTTACTATTTCAAACATTATTTTGAACAAATAATGACCATCAAACATGGACTTAACTTGATTTGTTGGAGTGAAATGTTGTATAGAGCAAGATGTATAAATTAATGAAATTTTGATAATAAAAATATTACGGAAAAAAAAAGTTTCAGGTATAGATGCACTTAAAATCAAATATCATATAGACCTTTAATACAATTAAAAAATAGTATAATAATAAAAATTATAGTGGTAATATAAAGATCCTAATCATCCCTTTCGTCTACGATATTAAAACTTTTTTTTTCCCTCTTTTGAAAATCAGGCATACACTTATTTTTATTTAAATAAAAAGAAGAGATTAAAATTTCAACCATGCACTTATTCTCATACATATAACCATAGCGTAGGAACTTACTAGAGTTAGGGGTGGACGCGGGTCGGTTCGGTTCTAAAGAGAATTGAATCAAACCAAAATTTTCGAGTATCTAGTAAATGAAACCGTCGGGTCCAAATATAATTATGGAATCGTTCGAGTTCGGTTCCGTTCGGTTCCATTCGATTCTATACTATAATTAAATTTTTTAACATTTATAACAACATCATATAAATACAACTAATGATACATTCAATGGTTTTGGAATGCCATAGACTAGTAGAGTACCTTGTTCAAATGATCGCTACGGTCAAAATTTCGGTCGGCAGATGTCACATCATCGGCCGACAATTGTATAGATTTTGAAATGTTAGCGAGGCTGCGAGAGTCGAGACAACATTATGCACTTTAGTGTAGGTGTTTAGAGTTATTTAGTTGATTGAATCTTGTTGAGCTAAAAAATGAAACAATAAAATGGGTAATGGGGCCAAAAATTAAAAAATTAGAAATGAAACAAATTATTGGACCAAAAATTTGGATTTAGCAATTGTTAATTTGTTTAGAAAAAATTAAAATTAAAATAATTTGATTTACTCAGTATAAAAAAAATTAGAAAGATTCTGTTCTTATTTGGTTCTTGGTCTAGAACCGAGAATCGAACCGTACCCGTCGATTCTCAATTCAGATACCTGTTCGGGTATTTAATTTGACAAGAATCATCGGGTTCGGTTCAATTCGGTTCGGGAGATTTGTCCAGCCCTAATTAGAGTGGTTTTTTTTTTTTTTAAAGAAATAAAAATGAGTATGAAGAAATGCCAAATGCAAAAATGGCCCAAATGTTTTATAAACTTATTCAAACAATAATCTCAAGGTATTATGAAAATAAAGACTTATTGCTTTTTAGTTTTTGAAATAAAAAAGGAAGCAATAATCACAAAAATGTGATGGAATATTTGTACCTCATTTCAAAGCGCCATATCATAATGTTTGAATATAAACCACAACCAAATACTGGATGTAGTAATTAAGGAAATATTGTGGCTAAAAATACAATAAAATAAATGGCGACATAAATTTGATAGTAAACGAAGATTAGGACCTTTAGTACAATTAAAAGTAACGCAACAAAAGAAAGAAAGAAAGAATAAGCTGAAGTTCTTAATGGTAACATTGTTATTTTATTTTTATTTTTATTTTTTCCGAAATCATGATATTTTTAAATTGCAACCTTTTAATGATAATAAACAAAGATTAAGACTTTAGTACAATTAAAAGTATTGCAACAACTTTAGTACAAGTAAGCTTAAGTTCTTAATGGTAACAATTTTCTTTGAAAAATGATATTTTCTAAATTGCAACCTTTTAATGGTCATGTTGAGAATTACCAATTCTTAGTGTTGAAATTAATTGAATTTGATTTGGGTTTGATTTGGATTTAAAATATTTAATGATGTGGGCCATTGTAATTAATTTGGGTGAATTGAAAAAGTCTCCAATATAGGCCCATATGTTGATAAGCCCATTTTAAGTTTTTTTTTTTTTATATGGAAAGGAGTCCCACATCGAAAGTTTACAAGAAAATAGTTTTGTTTATATAGTGGGTTGTGTAAATAATATATAATTTAATAAGTTACCTACCAATTGGCTAACTTTAGCTAGCCAAAGGCTAGTCACCACTAGAGTGGTGCGACGCACCACTAGCACCGCTCCCCGGACCCGGTCCTGGTACGCGCACGTCGCAAAGTACGCATTGAGCGCTTTAGAGGCTCACTTCGCACGTACGCATCGTCGCGAGGAGTTGGGAAGCCTTATAGTTTTCGAAAATGGACTCGTGGTTCGATGACATGGCAGCACAAGACTCGGTGAGTTGACATTCTAGGTGGCGCACAAGTGGTAGGTAGCATCCCTTCGTCCTGCGTGGCAGTTGGATGTACGCATGGCTGTGACTGTTCAGAAATTGGTGAATAAGCATGATGAATGGACACTTCACTTCATGGTTCAATTTGGGCCGTCAGATCATGAAAATAGTGCGAT